GTGTAAGCTATTTACTTGGAAGGTTGCTTCTGTGGCTGGTCACCACAGTGGGGGGTTGGGGCTTGTGCCGGTTGACGAACGCCCTACCGGTCCTCCATGACCCGTTTAGCCCATCCTTGGGTAGATAATCTAAAAAAAAAATAATAATAATAATAATAATAAGAAAGAGCAGATTGCCTCAAGAGTTATGCTGGCATCACACATAGCCAAAATTCCCGACCCGACTCTTAAAACCGTCTAAAGATGGAATCCTCCCGGCAGCAATGACGTCATTACGATAATCGGGTGTAATTTTTCATCCGCGTACGACGGAATCCTAACGGTCCTACGTAGTTTAGAGAAATCGAGGGGGTCCTGAACCGTCGTGGAGGGCCTATGATAATTGGCTGCTGCACCCAATAATCTCCGTGATTCGGAAGACCAAATCAGTCGTAGAAGACTGCGTACGACGGGCAAGATCGATCTTCTTGATAGTACGTGGGCGTAGGAGAAGGTGTACGCCCGTGTACGATCCAGAGGATCGATCCTACCTGGCGTACGCAGTCCTCCGGGTTTGGAACCGTTAAAAATTTTAAAATTCGCTTATACGTCTGGCAGCGCAGTACAAAAAGACAGCGCGCATGCGTGGTCTCATTTCTGACAACCCAGTCCTGGGTGTTCAGTTTTCCTGCTCCGCTTGCCGCATTTCTTATTGTTTTAGCATGATATTAGTGCATTTCTTATTGTTTACCATGATATTAGTGCATTTATTTTTTCCCTCACATCAAAATATGAATTAATCAAATCCATAAATGTGTCAAACAAAATATATGAAATATATTAACATACATGGCCAACATATATTTACTTATATATATAAATAGCTGAAGTGCCAAATATATAAATCAGGGTTATACTTTCACAAATATCCCATATAAATATATATATATATATATATATATATATATATATATATATATATATATATATATATATATATATATATATATATATATATATATATATATATATATATATATATATATATATATATATATATATATATATATATATATATATATATATATATATATATATATATATATATATATATATATATATATATATATATATATATATATATATATATATATATATATATATATATATATATATATATATATATATATATATATATATATATATATATATATATATATATATATATATATATATATATATATATATATATATATATATATATATATATATATATATATATATATATATATACACATATATATACATATACATATACATATACATATACATATATATATATATATATATATATATATATATATATATATATATATATATATATATATATATATATATATATATATATATATATATATATATATATATATATATATATATATATATATTTTATTGTTCACTAGGATCAATTCTAACATAATTATATAAATGGAAAAGTAAGGGCAAAGATAACTATACCAAATTACTTTTTATTTGCGTTTACCAGTACATACAACTTACATTTGAAGGATTCTGTGAATGACAAAGATGAAACATTATTACATTATTGAATGTAAAATATTAAGCTTAATATCTTCTCAGTATAAAATAATGAAAATGAACAACCCCCTACGAACGTGTACGTTCCCCTACGATGGGTAGGGAGCGTCGGGAGCATGGTTGGCCCAGTCGTAACGGTCAAAAATTTAAATTTCCTGTTTTCTATGATGCGACTTACGTTTGCGTATGATCAGTCGTACACTAAATTACGCGTCCAAACTACTCCGTACGATTGCAATTACGATCCATAGGAATGCTTACGCGGACGTATGACGCACTTCCGACAGGCACAGGAATGCATATGTCGGCTAAAAAATCTGCCGGATCTCCAAGGATTGAGCGAAGTTTCCGTCGGAACGCGGTCTTAAGAGTCGGGTCAGGAAATTGGCTATGTGTGACGCCAGCATTAGCAAGGGCAACAGCCCAAACCGAGGTCAATTTTCACATGCCCAATGAGATCCGGATGTGCAAATTTATTATCAATAAAGTCAAGAAAAATCAAACCATTTATCAGTTACCCTCTCACTTGTGCTTTTAAATATCTTTGTCTCTCGTTGGAGGTGGACAGTCGGCGTATTATTATTATTATTATTACTATTATTATTATTATTATTATTATTATTATTATTATTATTATTATTATTATTATTATTATTATTATTAATATTATTATTATTATTATTATAATTATTATTATTGTTATTATTGTTGTTATTATCATTATTATTATTATTATTATTATTATTCACTTTGAACTCACAAATGAATATTCTAAATCGCATAGTTGATTGGAAAGTCCATTCATAACAGTTAATCAAGTGTTAAAAACTTCATTAAAAGAGAAATAAAATATTTATGAAAAAAGTAACGTGAATAATATAATCTAAGCGACGTGAAATTATATATATATATATATATATATATATATATATATATATATATATATATATATATATATATATATATATATATATATATATATATATATATATATATATATACATATATATATATATATATATATATATATATATATATATATATATATATATATATATATATATATATATATATATATATATATATATATATATATATATATATATATATATATATATATATATATATTTTTTATTCAATTGAAGAAACAATGTGATTTATTTTATCGCACTTAACTGCGTGCTAATATATCTTTTTTTTTTTTCAATTATCCATTTCGCTTAAAATCTTATCAGCGATGATGGATGAAAATTTGAAATGTCAGACTAATACCAGTTCCACTTATTTCAGAAATTTTTCAAAAGGATCTTTTATGTTGTAAAAGTATGAGTGTATATATTGCTTTAGAATATGGGCATTAATATTTACATTATAGTGTGTTTATTCATTTGCAAAATTATATATATATATATATATATATATATATATATATATATATATATATATATATATATATATATATATATATATATATATATATATATATATATATATATATATATATATATATATATATATATATATATATATATATATATATATATATATATATATATATATATATATACAGTGTATATATATATATATATATATATATATATATATATATATATATATATATATATATATATATATATATATATATATATATATATATATATATATATATATATATATATATATATATATATATATATATATATATATATATATATAGTAAGGAAGCCCATCAGTGAAACAAAACGTATAAAACAATGCTATATTTCGGATCCTAACTGGATCCCTTCTCTGCTTGAGAAGGGATCCAGTTAGGATCCGAAATATAGCATTGTTTTATACGTTTTGTTTCACTGATGGGCTTCCTTACTATTTAGTGCTGTATGCTAACAGTTTGTACTTATTTATATATATATATATATATATATATATATATATATATATATATATATATATATATATATATATATATATATATATATATATATATATATATATATATATATATATATATATATATATACATATATATATATATATATATATATATATATATATATATATATATATATATATATATATATATATATATATATATATATATATATATATATATATATATATATATATATATATATATATATATATATATATATACATATATATATATATATATATATATATATATATATATATATATATATATATATATATATGTATATATATATATATATATATATATATATATATATATATATATATATATATATATATATATATATATATATATATACATATATATATATATATATATATATATATATATATATATATATATATATATATATATATATATATATATATATATATATATATATATATATATATATATATATATATATATATATATATATATATATATATATATATATATGTATATATATATATATATATATATATATATATATATATATATATATATATATATATATATATATATATATATATATATATATATATATATATATATATATATATATATATATATATATATATATTTATATATATATATATATATATATATATATATATATATATATATATATATATATATATATATATATATATATATATATATATATATATATATATATATATATATATATATATATATATATATATATATATATATATATATATATAGGCCCGATTTCTTAATCAGTGTAAACCTAGGATACCATATAGTTAACTAGAGACACATAAATAGATTTCATAAACGAATCTGAAGCAGTTCTCTGTATGGCTAGGAAGTCTTGCTGAATCCTAGTCATACAAAGAACCACGTCAGATGCGTTTATGAAATTCATTCGTGTGTCTAGCTAACTAACAATATGGTATCCTAGGTTTACACTGTTTAAGAAATCGGGCCTTTATGGTAGTCAAGTGTAAAATATTCTCCAATTTCTCTTTCTAAAGAGAAATATACAGCAGCATCTTTAACTAGGTATAGGCAGATTCATTAATAAAAAAATTCCATTAAAATAAAATAGAGAATATACATTTGTGCCATTGAAACTGAAATTGTTAAAAATGTATCATCCTCCACCTCTGCAATTTTCTTCCATTTTTATTACTGATGAATTGGCTTTTCTTGATTTAACTGTCAGAGGATGATGCTCTTCTCATTTATACCTTTTTGGCATGTATGTATGTATGTATGTATGTATGTATGTGTATGTATGTATGTATGTATGTATGTATGTATGTATGTATGTATGTATGTATGTATGTATGTATGTATGTATGTATGTATGTATGTATGTATGTATGTATGTATGTATGTATGTATGTATGTATGTATGCATGTATGTGTGTATGGATGCATATATGTATGCATTTATTTATGTATGTACGATTGGAGGGAT